ATTTTTAATATTTTCTATATCTTCCCCTCTCTCTCTCTCATCGCCCATCTAAATAACTGCTGAATAATATATATTATTGTATGCGATGGCCGTTATCAGAACGATATGTGAATAGACCCCCTTGAAGCTTTTTTTCCAACTTAAGAATCCAAAAAGAAAGATTGTTATTTGCTACAGAACAGGTAAAAATCTAAACATGTGTATGAAAAAAGGGATTAAGCTATTCGTCTTTTTACGGGAAATATTTCTTTATTTAATTGATAATTTATAGTTTATATTAAACCATGTAATWCTATGTGAACTATACTACTACTCAAATATGACTTACAGCTATTATGTTAGAAAAAAGAATTTCATCTCTTTTTAATTTAAGACGGCGATCGGATGTTGGTTATACCGAGCAGCGTAGCTACACTTTGTCATGAACTTTTTACTCGGAGTTAGTAGCAGTAATAATAAACGCCCAACAATTCGATTTCACAGCGTGGCTACCAATCGTTAAAAACGTTTAACCAGCGTATGGATAAGAGCGCGCTCAGTGGCAAAATTATTTTTGTTTGATGGTACTATTATGGYATTATTTATTATACAATATCAAAATAAGTACCTAGGTAAGTATTCTATATTATCCAGCATCTCTATTGTTTCTTTTTTAACTACCAATTATTTCTTTAGGTGCCTATACAAAAATACATTAAGTATCCTCTTTTAGTAACATTAAATTCTTCAAATTTACGCACTTGGTCTCATTCTGTTAATTTTCCAAATTTTTTTCTGTTTTCTATTAAATTTCTACCTCAATTGTTATTTTTAATTTCTAAAATCAACAGTATAAGTATGAGTAGCATTATCTTCTTTGTGTTTATCTGTACACCAACACATTGTTGAAAATCGAAGTATAATACGTGTGAAATCAAACGATTGTAGCAATAATAGAAAAACAAATTATACCGTTTATCAAGATATTATATTATATTATTTTTTACTAATCTCAAAATGTTTCTTAGAATACAATGCATAGCATGATGTCAAGGATTTATTTATCCACTTAAAATATGCATTAAATAGGTTAGAATTAMCAYGTACGATAAATAAAAAAAATAGGTATTCATGCATTATATATAAATATAATTTACTCCCACGATGATATTATATATTTAGATAATCGGTTAAATGCATGCATATAAATATATTGTACAATATATAATATGTTGATACACAGCTATATTGGCTATTGTGTATAGGTACCTAAGTGTACTTAAATATTTTCGGCATAAATTAAGATGCTGTATACTATATATATAAGTATATAACATAATATGCATATAAACATATTAGTAGGTAGCCTAATAAGATTACTTATATATATTTTTGTGCGTACACACTGCGGCTTTATCACACGCGTGACGTGCCAGATTATAAGTAAATGTATTATATAAGTAATAGGTACAGTCGTATAATATGATATACCTACCTATAGATATGCAATAAGCCAACGACGCATAGTTTTGGTTTTAAATTTCAAGTCAGTGGGAGTGATAGCTAAGCGCACAATTTTCGATGTTCAATTTAAATAGGAATCATGGATTTTGTTTTGTTTTTTTGCTCAAGTTTATGGGTGGTCTACAAAAACAAGAACCAGAGTAACTAACCAAATCAATAAATCATTTCCAACACTTATATACGTAGTGTATAATAATWATTATTATATTTAATATAATAAGACACACGTCCTGTGTATGTGCATAAATATGATGTTAACCTATGTTTTGTATAAAGTTTTGATGCAAAAAAAAAAACTGGTAATAAATTCAACAGTTAATGCTTAAAACTTGACGTGAATTCAATATTGTTCAAATTGGTAAATGTTTTAATTGGTTACAGTTTACATCAATAATACTTCAGTATTATAAAGTTGCAAGGGTTAAATATGAATATATATGTTACGGTAAATGACAAAAAAATAATAATTTACGTAATTTACCGGTAAATATCGTTAATATTCATTTTTAATTTATACTCGTATGAGTAGATTTTTACGTTAATTACCGAGAATTTACGATAAAAAGTTATACAAGTGGTTATTATTGTATTTATATCATAGGTATATTATTAACTACTTATTTTCACATGGTAATGATCTATGAGATTTTGAATTACAAAGTTTGCTTGAAGAACAACAAGCACATTTATTATTTTTACATTTAGTTTTGCAGTRACATCGTTGGTACCCTTGTAAACCGAAATACTGCTCAAATCAGCTGCCTCTCGAAGAGTAAGCTTTTTTCTTTGATAKATTTAGGTATGTCGAGAAGTTTTTCTTTACAGGGTACTAGCTCAGATCTWGTGTATTTATATTTTAGCCATTTTAGGTGTCCATGTTCAGTACCTATATTAAAGTATAACATTCATTTTTTGTAAATATTTGAATAATTTATATGTGGATACTCTCCTAATTTGTAAAGATAATTTTCGACATGTATAACGACTAACGACTGCTAATAAATTACGCGAAGCACAGTGAGCACGATCTACATCTGCAGGTATCGATTCTTCAACGATTGAACCTATTTCGAGTGGATCAAATCGAGATGATGATGACTTAACATCTTTTCTGCTTGTTTTGCAAACATGAGACTGATTTTTTTCGTTCGTTCGTTATTTTGATTTGTTGTTARTYAACTAAAACATTTTAAATGATTTTAACTTAATTTAATGAAAAAAATTATATAAAAACAAACCAAGTTTTGCTTCATCTTTTGTATAATTTTCACAGTATCCATCGCTTAGACTTTCAGTGTCTTCATCACAATTTTGAGTGTTCGTAGTAGAATTGATTCAATGTCCTCCTCWGACACAAACTTTCAACATCATATGTTGGAATACCAATTGAGGCTAATCCTATACTCTTGCTGGACATCGCTTCATACGGTGATCTACCAATACTTTTATGTATAGTAATAATAATACATAATATTATGTGAAAAATTATAGGTATACAAACTAACATGTATAGAAAAAAAATTAAAACTTGATTATAGTATAAATAGGTTAAGTTAATTATAATATAAATTAGTACCTCAATGGAAAGCGCGATTTTTTTGAAATTGAATACATTTTAAGCATTTGGCCAGTCCTTTGTATTATTTTGTGCCATCCAAGTGGCAAGCATATCTTTTATATCTCTGTTTAGAACCTTGACATTGGCTATGCTGAGGATTTCCGTGGACGATTTTAACGTCACTCCACAGTGAACGTAATTCAGTTATTATTGAGTTCACAAATACACGTTAGTTATAACACACGTCTAACAAAGTTGTGTTATTGACAAATTGTAGTATTATACATAACATTTACCAATTTATTTGGTGAAAATCGAAAATCTCCATTTTGTATATATATTTACGATAATTACCGGTTAATTACGTAATTTGCATGTTTTACATCATTTACCGTAACATATATAAAGATAGATATAGATATAAAGAGAGAGAGTAATGCAAAATATATGATTTATGTATCTATTACTTTATTAAATTAATTAGATATAAAAAATATTTAAAGTTCAAACATGCTGATTAATGAGTCCAATGTATTGCTTGTCTGTAGAGCTTCTTGTAAATCTTCTCGTGAGTTAGGTTTCACATTTAACCCTCTCAATTTGTGCCAATCATCAAACAATGCCAACATAATAGCTAAAACATCAAAAGTAAAATAAATAATAGATAGCTAAAAAAATTTTAATTTAAAAAGTAATTYCATTTAATTATCACACCTTGTAAACGCTGCATGCGTGATGGTCTCTGAAGTACTTCTTGTTTCAATTTGTCTTCATTTGAAACCATTAGTAAATACTCTTTTGTAAGTGATTCTCCATTTGTATTAGGATTGACAGATAGTTGTTTTATAGCATTAATAAGCTTCAATGTTTTGTCATTTTTTATGTCAGTTTTCAATTTAGAAACAATCGCATCAATCATCAATGTTAAACTACCTTCTGATATTTCTGTATACAATAAGCATGTGTTTTCAATGAACTATAAATTATGCTAGGTKATMTAATACACAAACCATAAGTCATGTCCAATTTAATATTTTTCCTAGTAGCATCTCTACTGAAGTTGTCCTTGAGGATTGAAATTGCAGTAATATTGTCAGTCTTTATGTTTATWGATCCCCGACTGAAATAATAACATAAAAGTAAAATTATTTTATCTAGGTTAATGGCATCTAAACATGATTAAATAAACTACCTATATTCACACAATAAAACTGTATCTAATATTATTGATTCAAAAGAATACTCCAAACTCTCTTGAGAAGCTGGTTTCTCGGGGAGCCCTGGCAAACAGTTTGAAATCCACAAATGAGCTTCAGAAAGACTAAACCCACCACACAATGTCATAAAACTCTGAGGCTGATATCTAAAAAAAAATATTTTTTAAAAGTATTTTAATGGTATTAGTATTAAAAAAATCATATTTTATCACTATTTTTAATATTTAACTTAAAAAATTATTAATTATAATCTAAACCATACCTTCTTATAAAAGAAAGGCTTAAAATACTAAATTTTCTAATTACAAACATGGGTAATTATTATTATATATYKTACAACTTACACTATATTTTTTTTAGTTCTTTGATGATATAAAAGTGGCTTGATAGGAAATTTACAAACTTGACAACATTTAGGTTGTAGTAAGGGTGTAATGTATAGAGTTAAAATTCCATGATCACCCTCATGAGACCACATTTTTAATTCTAATTTTGTAGTATTTAACTGACATCTGTAAGTAATCAATAATTTATTATTATCCTGTAAAAAAAAAAAACAAAAATATTTTAATATGAATATAAAATATAACAAAAACTGTATTTATTTTTAATAGTATTAACTGAAAATATGGGTTAAATTGAACGTTTTATATGGTAGTATTAAATTATCATTGTA